CGCCGTGACTGCAGATTAGGGCCAGACGAGAGAGTTGTCGTCTCTCCTCGGCTCCGGACGTCTGGCTCTGCAGATGGTTCAGTCGGCCAGACACGTGGCTGACCAACCAGAGCCAAAGACGAGAGGTTCGAGGCGCGAAAAGCAGTGACAACGAGTTGCGATGAGGTGAACACAAATCAGAGGACTGCCGCTGGCCGGCGAGATGGGCAAAAGCAGACTAGCCCAACCGAGCGAGACGCAGGCCTCCTCCGATTGGGCCAGAATGTACTGGCTCGCCAGGAATAGACAAGTAGGCCTCGGTCTTGGCCTCCGCCTCGGGGACGAAAAGACGGTGAGGAGTGATTACACTCTCGGCTCGTCATCGGACAGGCCAGCCAATTGGTGCCAGGCTCACTCGCCCCTCCAGAACAGCACAATTCGGCCAGTCGTCCTTTGGCCGAGGTTGGCCGACGCTTTTCCCCCTGTCTATTTAGCCTTATCGTCTGCCACGATAAATGATCGCTCCTCAACCCATCCATCGTCGTAGGCTCTATTGCGGCCCAGCTTCATGCAAAGACAATTACTTTGTCTATTCGCCTACGCGACTTGTTTGTTTGTCTGCCCTACAGGATCGTCTAATTCTCGTCCATCCCTGCTGAACCAAAGGGGAGGAGTCGAGGCCAGATTACCTTGGCGATATTGTTCAAGTTATCCACTTTTGGCGCCAAATGTGTGAGCGTGTGTACATTCGGCTAGTCTAAATTGTTTTACTTTTAAGCATAGTTGGGGAGACTTTCATTGCGCAGGAAACGGCATGATGAAGAAATTCGTGCGTCAAAGTCACCAGTTGACGCAGCCCACGAGATATACTTCCTGGTTTTTCGTTTTTAAGCAAGTTTTCGAGACTACCAGTAGATCCTATATATGAGATGTATTCACTCTATTTCGTTAAGTTGATGACGAAGAATAAATAATACAGTTAATTGTAATGACAAATACAACTTCGCCTCATCGACGCTCCCACCACAGGATGTGATATGGAAAAATAACTGGTATTACTTGCAATTCGCATCTTCCTTGTGACCCAGGGACATTCTTGGCAGTATGTCGTGGCGATTAATCTGTCGACATTAGCCGCAGTACTGTCATAATTAGAGTCTCGATGGGGGTGTTGCTAAGGCCTAGACGAGGTCAAAATTGCAATCAACTCCATCTGGGTTAGAATGTCTTTTGAGAAATCAAGAGTATGTGAAATTAAATGTCTCACTCATGTCATTATGGGAAAATTCAATTACAAGTTCCCTTAATATCTTAAACGGAATAGGGTGAATACACTCCATATATAAATGATCTACTGGTAGTCTCAAAAAACCTACTTATTGCCATAGCAAATGCAACTTTGCCTTATCAACAATCCCACTACAGAATGTGATATAAGTAAATTTTTGGCCTTCTTTAACATTCACACTTGCCCTGTGACCCAAGTGCACTCGTGGCAAATGTATCAAGCTAACATTAAGTCAAAAGGACTAACTGGCCCTAGCCTAAATTTCATATCTACTCAACTCAAAGTCACTTTAACAAGAATGCATTTTAGCTTACA